AAATTACAAAAATATTAACAACCCCAAGACCAGAGATATAGTCTTAGACAAAATTGAATCCTTAGATCTTATTGATATCTGGCGGGGACTAAATCCTGATTTAAGAAAATATACATGGTGGAAAAAAAACAAGCAAGCAAGACTGGACTTCTTTTTTTACTTTCGCAGGGCACTTTTAGTCTTTCACTGGATTCTGACATCATACCTGGCTATAAAACAGACAATTCAGCTATTAGCTTTACTTTCTCAAACACTGTTAATAAAAAAAGAGGGAAGCGTTACTGGAAACTCAATACTTCTTTACTCTTACATCCCGAATATGCTGCTTTATTCAGATCAGTCTTAAGGGAGACGACTAAAGAATACTCAGATATTGACTCTTATGTTGAGAATGTGAATGACTCAGATATCAAACTTAAGATAGATGACAGCTTATTCTTAGAAACATTTCTGATGAAGGTCCGAGGTTAATCAATATCGCTTTCATCTTATCTTCAAAAGAAAACAAAGGACAAATCTAATGAGTTAGAAACTAAAATAAGAGACTGTGAAGCTACTATTAAAATATTTTCAAAACGTAGATGAAACCTTACTATCTGAACTTTCTAAATTTAAAACAGAACTACAACAAATTAAGGAAAAAGAGATAAGAAGAATTCAACGCAGAAACAGAATTTTATGGCATGAAGAAGGGGAAAAACCAACAAAACATTTGTCATTTAAAAAATAGGATTTTTTATGTTAGCAAATCAATAAATAAAATTATTACAGATAAGAATGAAGAAATTACTGACAGCGATGCAATCTTAAATGAACTTAAAGAGTTTTATAAAAAAACTGTATTCTTCTGCTAAGAACTATGAGAATGATGCCTATTTAGACAATGTGATAACTCCAACCTTAAGTCGCCAATTGATTTTGATTGGCATATGATTTGTGATATTTGCAGAAAGAATTTAAGAGATGTGAAATTGTTAGATTTTCAATATAAATTTCTGCACGGAATTGTTATTACCAAAAAAGAACTTTCTATAATGAATCCAATACAATATGTTCTTTTTGTAATGTTTCTGGTGAGACCCTATGCCATGTATACTGGGAATGTGATGAAACCAAAACTTTCTGGAAGGAACTTGAACAGTGGATTACGAAAAGTATCCAAGCACTTAATTTGACAAAAACTTTGATCTGGTTTGGCTTTTTAGGTAAAAACCCATTACTGAATCACATAATCTATCTGCTAAGAGGTATATTTACACTTGTTCTTTCGGAAAATTTTTTTTTCCAAAAGTTGATAATTACTTAAGGATATGACAGACATATTCACCACTGAAAAATGCATTTCCAGAAGAAAGCTTTTTAGCCAAATGGTTTCCTCTCATCCCAGAACTTAATCGTGAATGACTATTTAACCAAAACATATTACTGATAGTGATATTTAATGTAACATATCTCTATTGATCCCACGAGCTGTTTTGTACACATATTCCTCTATATGTTGACACGTTGTTGTCAAGAATGGAAAGTGACCTGAACGTCAAGGGTACTGCTCTTTCATGGTTCCAATCTTACCTATCAGATCGATCTCAAGTAGTTAAAATTGAGAGCAAAACATCAAGTCCCACAGATCTCAGAAGTGGCGCCCCCCAAGGTTCTGTGCTAGGACCAGTGCTGTTCTCTGTGTACACTACACCACTGGGAAGAATAGCAGACAAGCATAAAGTCACCAACCATCAATATGCAGATGACAATCAAATTTATTCTTCATTCCCTACCACAGAAGCCCTGCCATCTTTGGACACTCTTTCTGATTCCTGCAATGACATTCAGACATGGATGACTAAAACCTATTGAAAATTAATTAGGAAAATCAGAATTCTTGCTTATTGGGTCGAAAACATAACTTTCCAAACTTGACAGGCCATCTTTCCAAACAGGGAATACTGCCATAGCCCCAACCCCGAAGGTCAAGAATCTAGGGGTTATTCTCGATGAAAATCTGAAAATGGACAAGCAGATCTCCAACATAATTAACACGGCTCATATGCATCTCAGGAACATTGGAAAACTCCATAACTATCTGAGTGCTGATGCTACTTCAAAACTTGTCCTATCTCTGGTCATGTCCCGAGTAGATTACTGCAACAGCCTCCTCAACAACGTCAACCAAGATCAGCTACGTCGCCTTCAAGCCCTCCAAAACACTGCTGCAAGAATCATTACAAAGTCTAAAGTCTTCGATCACATTACTCCAATACTAAACGATTTACACTGGCTACCAATCACCGCAAGAATTGACTACAAAACTATTGTTATGACGTACAAGTGTCTCGACGGAATGGCCCCTGACTACCTCGCAGAGTTACTGCCCGTGTAGAAGCCCTAACGCTCACTGAGATCACAAAACCAAATGCTAGTGACAGTGCCAAACATCAAAACCATCGTTCGCTTTCAATGCAGCAATGAAGTGGAATGCGCTACCGCTTGAACTCAAAACGAGCGAGTCGCTAACAGACTGGCCTCAAAATATTTCTTTTCTAGTGTCAATTTCCATCTTAAGCGCACAGAGCATTTACTAGTGAATGATGCGCTGTATAACTGCCATTATTATTGTTTGTATTCAACGTATTGGGTACAATAAAAAAGTCGCCATGTCTGTAATAGTCCTCATAGTCCTGTCGTGCGAGTAAGTAAAGTAGTGATATATGAACATTCCCATGAATTTAGATCAGTCAATACGATGTTGAGGATGCACAATGAAGCGTATGGTGTTCATCATTTTATATTATTATTTGACATTATTATAACAAATCACATGACGATATCAAGTCGGAATGAAATAAGTGTAAACTTTCATGATCGAAACGCATTTCATGCCTTAAACTGCAACGTTTCAACAACATATATTTTGTATTACTCAATTACCAACTTCAATATTGATGAAACAAGCATCGTACGTGTATTATGCCATGTCATGCCAGTTACGCTAAGGTTTGCTTGGAAGGTATGAAATTCGAGTCTGACCCCTCGAGTCCAAGAAAATGGACTCGTTGAAACCCTAGTTGCAGAAACAGAGGTAGCTCGAGAGATGAAGACTCCGCCCCAATACCTGGATGTTGTGGTGATTCTAGTGAAGCTGGGTTAAACAGACAATATCAGTGGATGTCAGCAGCTAAACACAATATAGCATAAAGTAATAACTAAAATATCTCTGACTTTCAGTGCTTTGTTTAGTATTAGTGCTTATTTTGTAAATATGTAAATGGAATATACCTATGTCACACTGCTAATTTCACCTTATTCTGTCAAGGATTTATGATTACTACGGTATGTCGCGCTTAATGCATTACCTACGGTAACGATTCACGACCAGTGTAAGTAAATTTCAGTTATAAAAATACATGCATTGGGCAAATACGGTAAACGGCTCGAGGTGCTCAGATTTGACATATACCATTTAACTCCGGTATTGACTGTACGCATTCTAACTGAAATGTTAACATTTATTTTCTCAATACAATAATTTCAGTAGATACGGTAAGTGATATTAGAGAGATAAAAAATAGTGTTGTAAATACGGGGACAGAAGGCCTAGTTTTAGTTAGAGTACTACTAATTTGTTTTAGCATGAATTATTTGGCTGACTACAGTAATTAAGTGTATTTCGACGGGTGATGTTGCTATTGGCAACGTGCAATTTCGACATACGGAGTTAAGCCATGACCTAGAATATATGTATTGCTGTAGTGTTTACACTTAAACAAGGGATGTCGGAAGGTACATTTTTGTGCTTTACAAAACATGACAGTAACTGAGTTAAATGAATATGTAATAATGTACTAGGTCGGCGCTATTGTCATTGGCTACGCGTATATCATAAAATTACGGAGCTAAATAAATACGGAACGAAGACTGTAATTGCAAACTACACGGATTTGAATGTATATTTTCGGGTAATATGAAAAGTAGACAATACCATTTTCTAATCATTACGGTAATGTGATTCGCGTATAGACTATTCTGTGCGGTATACAACTGCACGCGGAACGGAATGTTTTATATCATTATTCAAATACTTATTCATGTTGTTGAAATTTTAAAATACAAATGTTGGCTGTTGCACCCATTCCGTGAGCGCGAATCTGAGGTTAATCTACACGGATATTCTTTAATCGGCGGACTGTCGTAAAATACTGAATAACTGACCTACATATAAATTCATCATAGCTCGAAATAATTGTATAAACTCTCGGAACTGTTTTTGTGACTAAACTGCTGGAATCTAGGCTACTGAACGAGAATCTAACCTGCATATACAGATCTAACACGCAAACTGAATAAAACTAAACAAAGACTGGGGATATACACATGAGTGTAGAAACATAGAACAGAAGCATTCGTTTGTACATGAAAAACATAAACTTGAGGAGCCCACGACGCAATGTGCATAAATAAATATCCCCGGGATATATCTAGAGCCAGCATTTACAATGGTAGGTATTTCAAAAAAGTGCTTCAATATCGTAGGAATGTTTCAAACCTGACTCTAACATTTTCTAGACAATAATTACAAAGAAATAACAAGTTAGACATAAACAAGAATAAAGTGTAAATGTTTCTTACCTTGAAACAAGAAAGGAAAGAGCTGTGAGTTCCTTGGGTTTAATTCAAGCAAGTGTGCCTGAGATGGAAGAACCCAGGATTTTATACCCCACAGCTGTACTCGTTTGTCAGTATCAAGTTTCTATAAAGTTGAAGTTTCCATATGCGTTATCTACCCTATGCTGACAAAGTATACTACACGAGGTAGGTGGTAAGAAAATGATTACCTAACAAAGTTAATTTTCTTTATGGTGTAGCCACAGTCAGCTTGCGCCAGCTGCTTAACAAAATATCTGTCAGCGCTTGACCATGGCATTAACGACAGGACAAAGAGGATGGTAGTCTCGATCTTGTTCAACAAAAGTTGATTTTCGATTACGACTTGGTTGGTGGTAGACATGCACCTGCTGCGATGGGAGTACTTATCTGCAGTGCAATCATCCACGTTGCACTCCACCTTGCCTCAATCTGTGATAGTAGCCATTGCAATCAAGGGGCTACTCCCACAGATTAAGCAGTTGGTGTACACAAAGGAGACAGCAACCCTGGACGAGGTTCATCACCAGGCACAGCTGGCCGTACAGTCGCAGGCCCCCAGTACAGCAGAGGTCGGCTTGGTCCAACAAGTTGAACAATTAACAAACTTGGTGGCCATGCTGATTACAACAAACAAGGCCTGTACTGTACAGTTAGCAATCCCTTCAACCAGCCCACAGCAGCAACAGCCCCGGGACCACCACCAACAGCAACAGCACCCATACCACAACAACCACCACCACCACCAACCAGCCCCACCACCACCCGCCAACCAGCAGCAGTACCAACCACCACCACAGCCACCAGCGCCAGCAGTACCAACCAGCGCCACCACCACAGCAGTACCAACCACCACCACCACCACCACCACCCAGTACCAACCAGCGCCACCACCACAGCAGTACCAACCACCACCACCACCAGCACAGCAGTACCAACCAGCGCCACCACCACAGCAGTACCAACCACCACCACCACAGCAGTACCAACCACCACCATCACAGCAGTACCAACCACCACCACCACCACAGCAGTACCAACCACCATCACAGCCACCACAGCAGCGGGTACCAGCCACCACCACCAGCCACCACCACAGCGGTACCAACCAGCGCCAGTACCAACCACCAGCACCACAGCAGTACCAATTCAACCACCACCACCACCACCACAGCAGTACCAACCACCACCACCACAGTAGGTCAACCACCACCACAGCAGTGCCAACCAGCGCCACCAGCAGCACAGCAGTACCAACCAACCACCACCACAGCAGTACCAGCCACAGCAGTACCAACCACCACCACAGCCACCAGCAGCAGTACCAACCAGCGCACACCACCAGCGCAATATTACCAGTACCAACCACCACCAGCAGTACCAACCACCACCACACAGCAGTACCAACCACCACCACCACAGCACCACCACCACCACCACAGCAGTACCAACCACCACCACCACAGCAGTACCAACCACCACCACCACCACAGCAGTACCAACCACCACCACAGCCACCACAGCAGTACCAACCACCACCACAGCAGCACCAGTAACCAACCACCACCACCACAGCAGTACCAACCACCACCACCACAGCAGTACCAACCAGCGCCACCACCACAGCAGTACCAACCACCACCACCACAGCAGTACCAACCACCACCACCACCACAGCAGTACCAACCAGCGCCACCACCACAGCAGTACCAACCACCACCACCAGTACCAACCACCACCACCACAGCAGTACCAACCACCACCCACCACAGCAGTACCAACCAGCCACCACCAGCAGCAGTACCAACCACCACCACCACAGCAGTACCAACCACCACCACCACCAGCGCCACAACCACAGCAGTACCAACCACCACCACAGCAGTACCAACCACCACCACCACCACAGCAGTACCAACCACCAACCACCACCACAGCAGTACCAGCCACCACCACAGCAGTACCAACCACCACCACCACCACCACAGCAGTACCAACCACCACACCACCACAGCAGTACCACCACCAGCCACCCACAGCAGTACCAACCACCACCAGCACAGCAGTACCAACCAGCGCCACCACCACAGCAGTACCAACCACCACCACCACACCACACCAGCCACAGCGGTACCACCACCACCAGCACCACCACCACCACAGCAGTACCAACCACCACCACCCACCACAGCAGTACCAGCACCAACCACCACCACAGCAGTACCAACCACCACCACCAGCCACCACAGCGGTACCACCACCAGTACCAACCACCACCACCAGCACAGCAGTACCAACCACCACCACCAGCACAGCAGTACCAACCACCACCACAGCCAGCACAGCAGTACCAACCACCACCACAGCCACCACAGCAGTACCAACCACCACCACAGCCACCACAGTACCAACCACCACCACAGCAGCAGTACCAACCACCACCACCAGCCACCACCAGCCACCACCAACCACCACCACCACCACCAGCACAGCAGTACCACCCACCACCACCAGCCACAGCAGTACCAACCACCACCAGCACAGCAGTACCAACCACCACAACCACCAGCGCCACAGCAGTACCAACCACCACCACCACAGCAGTGCCAACCACCACCACCACAGCAGTACCAACCACCACCACCCAGCGGCAGTACCAACCAGCGCCACCACAGCAGTACCACCACAGCACCACCACCACAGCAGTACCAACCACCACCACCAGCACAGCAGTACCAACCAGCGCCACCAGCACCACAGCAGTACCAACCACCACCACGGCCACCACAGCGGTACCAACAGCACCAACCACCACCACCACAGCAGTACCAACCACCACCACCACCACAGCAGTACCAACCACCACCACCACCACAGCAGTACCAACCACCACCAATAGCAGCCACCACCACCACAGCAGTACCAACCACCACCACAGCCACCACAGCGGTACCAACCACCGCCACCAGCACCACAGCAGTACCAACCACCACCACCACCACAGCAGTACCACGGCGGTGCCAGCCACCACACAGGCACCAGCACCACCAACCAACCAGCCACCACCACAGCCACCACCACCACCACCACAGCCACCACAGCAGTACTGCCAACCACCACCACCACCACAGCGGTACCAACCACCACCACCCACCACAGCAGTACCTAACCACCACCAGCAGCCACCACAGCAGTACCAACCACCACCACCACCACAGCAGTACCAACCACCACCACCACCACCACAGCAGTACCAACCACCACCACAGCCACCACAGCAGTACCAACCACCACCACCACCACAGCAGTACCAACCACCACCACCAGTACCAGCCACAGCCACCACCGGTACCGACCACCACCACCACAGCAGTACCAACCACCACCACCACCACAGCAGTACCAACCACCACCACCACCACAGCAGTACCAACCACCACCCACCACAGCAGTACCAGCCACCACCACCACCACAGCCACCAGCGCCACCACCACAGCAGCAGTACCACCCAGCCACCACAGCCACCACAGCAGTACCACCACCACCACCACCCAGCAGTACCAGCCAACCACCACCACTGCCACCACAGCAGTACCACCACCACCACCACCACCACAGCAGTACCAACCAGCGCCACCACCACAGCAGTACCAGCCACCACCACAGCCACCACCACAGCAGTAGCCCACCACCACCACCACAGCGGTACCAGCCCACCACCACAGCAGTACCAACCACCACCACCACCACAGCGGTACCAACCACCACCACCACCACCACAGCAGTACCAACCACCACCACCACCATGGTGCCAGCCAGTACCAGCCAGCACCACCACAGCGGTACCAGCCAGCCACCACCACAGCAGTACATGGCGGCAACCACCACCACAGCAGTGCCACCACAGCGGTACCAGCCAGCACCACCACCCAGCAGTACCAGCCACCACCACCACAGCGGTGCCAACCAGCGCCACCACAGCACAGCGGTACCAGCCACCACCACCACAGCCAACCAGCCACCATACCACCACCACAGCAGCAGTACAGCCACCAGCCACCACAGCAGCCACACCAGTGCCACCACAGCAGTACCAACCAGCGCCACCACAGCACAGCAGTACCAACCACCACCACAGCCAGCGCCACCACAGCAGTACCAACCAGCGCCACCACCACCACCACAGCAGTACCACCACCACCACCACCACCACGGCACCCGCCACCACAGCACCAGCCACCACCACCACCACAGCGGTACCAGCCAGCGCCACCACCACAGCGCCAACCACCACCACAGCAGTACCAACCAGCGCCACCCAAGTACCAGCCAGCGCCACCACCACAGCAGTACCAACCACAACCACAGCCACCACAGCTGTACCAACCAGCGCCACCACCACAGCAGTACCAACCACCACCACAGTCACCACAGCAAGTACCAACCACCACCACAGTCACCACAGCAAGTACCAACCAGCGCCACCACCACAGCAGTACCAACCACCACCACAGCCACCACAGCAGTACCACTCAGCGCCACAGCAGTACCACCACCACCACTGCCACCGCAGCAGTACCACTCAGCGCCACAGCAGTATCCAGCTTCAGCACCCCCTCTAGTGCCATACAGCACAGCCCAGCAACACCCACAACCCTCCCCTTACCAGCCTGGCTCCAGCAACAGACGACTGTCAACACCACAGCACCTTCGAGGCAGATGTCGCGGATGTGGTGAGTGTTTTCGGTTCCCTCACCATTGCCCGCACAGAAACACAATACACAGGTGCCCCAGTTAGCAGTGTCAGCATGGGGCAGGCACATAAAGAAGCTGTGCATACAAAATTTAAAATCTAAATTTATCAAACCTGTGTAGACACATAAGGATTTAAACTCAGAGATTAGTGACATGTATCCAACATGCATGCACGTGCCACGTTCCGTGACGTCAGTGGGTTCGTCCTTGAGACGTGCAATACGTTGTTGCACGTGCATTCCGGGAAAGAGAAACAGAGCAAATGAATGCCACACAATACTGTCACTTTTGATGCTCAACCCCTGCCCTTGCGATCGTTCAAAAAATTAAACGGCTATTGAAACGCATAGCATGCCAAGGCTCACGTCTGCACAACGTCATGGGGCCACTGGGATGGTCCGTGGGGGAATGTCTCAACGACAAGTGGCTGCACATTTCCACTGCCACCGGAACACCATTTCTGCACTGGTGAGACGCTACCAGAACACAAATGACGTCATCGATTGGCCACGTTCTGGACGTCCACGTGTAACAACGCCAAGACAGGACAGATGGATAGGGTGACCCATCTTCGCCACAGGTTTCAGACTGCAGTGATGACTGCCCGAACCATCCCAGGACTTCGCCGTATCCACCTCAACACAGTTCGACAACGTTTACATCATCACGGGATCAGACCACGACGTCCCGCCATACGGCCTATCCTGACACAACGTCATCGACAAGCTCGCCGAATGTGGTGCCGAAATAATGTCCGCACACCCTTGTTTTGGTGGAGAAATGTTGTTTTTACAGATGAGTCCAGGTTTAACATTTCCCATAGTGATGGACGTCAACGTGCCTATAGACGCGTGGAAGAACGTTATGCACAGGCCTGTGTCTTGGAAAGGAATCGCTTTGGTGGTGGTTCCGTGATGATTTGGGGTGGAATAACAGCACGCCAAAGAACTCCTTTGGTGATTGTTCAGGGCAACTTAACTGGTGTGGGCTACATGGATCAGATTCTTCGACCTGTGGCAATTACTTTTCTGCAACGTCATGGCCCTGGGTTAACATTCCAACAGGACAATGCCCGCCCTCATACGGCAAGGGTTGCTATGGATTTCTTGCAACACCACAACGTTGACTTACTGCCTTGGCCTGCAAATTCACCGGATCTCTCCCCGATAGAGCATGTTTGGGACGAGATGGATCGACGTCTACGACGTCTTCCTCATCCGCCAGATAACGTCCTTGACCTTGCAACAGAACTTGAGAGAATCTGGCGTGACATCCCACAAACCTTCCTTGCACGTTTGATAGGCTCTTTGCGTCGTCGATGCACTGCTGTTCTCAATGCCGATGGTGGACATACCCGTTATTGAGCTTGTGACATGGTCGTTTGACCCTTGTCCCGCTTGTGGACTCGTGACGTCATTGTGATTGACTTTTCAATTGAAATTCTCCCGACCTGTCATGGTCTCATGATCCCTCCATTAAAGTTTATATGTACCTTTGACAATGTTATCGTACTTATCAACTGGGATAATATTTTGACAATGCACAGTTTCTTTATGTGGGTAATATATATATATATATATATACACCAACGTTTATACCAACCCAAGAGGATTTACAGAATTCTGTCGTGAATCCATAAGGACCAAAGCTTTTGCTATTTTCCCTATTTTTAAGTGCATTTAATACTTTAGGGTACGTGAGCTCACCTTCAATCCTTTGTTTTGTAATTCATTTACTGTGTCTATTTGAAGACTTTCAAACAATTTGACCAGGAAAGTATGTTGATAACATTTTCTGTTGTATAGTTTCAGTTAAGTACAGTCGTCCAACAAGTGTCCTATACAAGTTGGTGTTTCACCTTTTCTGTTACTGATTGCTTCCCTCACTCTATTCTACGTTGAAGTTGATCTCAAGTTCTTCTTTCGTTTCATCTATTGTAAAGAAGCGATTTTCTTCTCAGATGAGTAATGCCATAACCCTCATCGTAAGTAGACGAGTTTCAAGTAGTATGTTTAAATGTTTGTTTAATGATTTTGACGTATTTTAGATATCCTAAGTGAATTGTTCGGTTTCCAATACCCGTGTGTTTTCGTGGACAAGTAATGCGAGTATAACCCAGCGTATCGAATCTGTATTCCGGATCTTGAACAGCTGAAGGAATCTGTATTCCGGATCAATACCATCTTGAACAGCTGAAGGAATATGTAGTCCGGATCAATACCATCCTGAACAGCTGAAGGAATCTGTATTCCAGACCAGTACCATCTTGAACAGCTGAAGGAATCTGTATTCCAGACCAGTACCATCTTGAACAGCTGAAGGAATCTGTATTCCAGACCAGTACCATCTTGAACAGCTGAAGGAATCTGTATTCCGGATCAATACCATCCTGAACAGGTGAAGAAATCTGATCTTGTTCGTGTTGTATGTTTCCTGGTATATCTGTCCATGGATCTGTTATATTCTTATACAGTTTCCATCATCACATCTGCAGCTTTGGTGTTATTTATGTTTATGGTTGTAAGTTTCTGCATGTTGTTTTTTAAAAAGAACCCATCAACATTGAATCGGAACATATCCTATAGTAATCTGAATCTAGCGATGTGGTCAGTCTTGTTTCCTCTAGTGTAGGCCAAAAGCCCCTTGGTACAAACGCCCCTCAGTACAAAAAAACCCTCGAAATATGACCAAAAGCCCCTCACTTTATGTATTAATGGGAAAATAAGATTAAAGACAAGGATTCTGCATCTGAATAAGAAATAAATATAATTTTACGAAAGAAGTATACAAATACACACAACAACAAAATTACATTTAAAAAACATATAATGTTGCGAAACTTTGTGAGAGCAAGAAATACCAAAGAAATACATCTTAAACAGATTTTAAGACCGCTCCTTTCACAATTTACAATGTACATTTATAAATAATGAAGAAATACACAAAAGTGCCCCTAACCTTAAGATTGGTTTTCAGTGCTCCTCTACAACCCAGTGCCCCTCTACAACCCAGTGCCCCTCTACAACCCAGTGCTCCTCTACAACCCAGTGCCCATCTACAACCCAGTGCCCCTCTACAACCCAGTGCTCATCTACAACCCAGTGCCCCTCTACAACCCAGTGCCCATCTACAACCCAGTGCCCATCTACAACCCAGTGCTCCTCTACAACCCAGTGCTCCTCTACAACCCAGTCCTCCTCTACAACCCAGTGCTCCTCTACAACCCAGTGCCCCTCTACAACCCAGTGCCCCCTCTACAACCCAGTCTACAACCCAGTGCCCATCTACAACCCAGTGCTCCTCTACAACCCAGTGCCCATCTACAACCCAGTGCTCCTCTACAACCCAGTGCCCATCTACAACCCAGTGCTCCTCTACAACCCAGTGCCCTCTACAACCCAGTGCCCATCTACAACTCAGTGCTCATCTACAACCCAGTGCTCATCTACAACCCAGTGCTCATCTACAACCCAGTGCTCATAAACAACCCAGTGCTCCTCTACTACAAACCCAGTGTTCTCCCAGTGCTCCCTCTACAACCCAGTGTGCTCCTCTACAACCCAGTGTCCTCTACAACCCAGTGCCCTCTACAACCCAGTGCTCATAAACAACCCAGTGCCCCTCTACAACCCAGTGCCCCTCTACAACCCAGTGCCCTCTACAACCCAGTGCTCCTCTACAACCCAGTGCCCCTCTACAACCCAGTGCCCCTCTACAACCCAATGCCCCTCTACAACCCAGTGCCCCTCTACAACCAAGTGCCCTACGTTTGGTGCATTCCCATCACATGTGTGACTTGTTTATAGACTTCTTGTGTACATTCCCATCAAATGTGTGACTTGTTTAGACTTCTGTGTACATTCCCATCACATGTGTGACTTGTTTATAGACTTCTGTGTGTACATTCCAGTCAAATGTGTGACTTGTTTATAGACTTCTGTGTTCATTCCCATCACATGTGTGACTTGTTTATAGACTTCTGTGTGTACATTCCCATCACGTGTGACTTGTTTATAGACTTCTGTGTTCATTCCCATCACATGTGTGACTTGTTTATAGACTTCTGTGTGTACATTCCCATCACGTGTGACTTGTTTATAGACTTCTGTGTGTACATTCCCATCACATGTGTGACTTGTTTATAGACTTCTTGTGTACATTCCCATCACATGTGTGACTTGTTTATAGACTTCTGTGTGTACATTCACATGTGTGACTTGTTTATAGATCACATTCCCATCACGTGTGACTTGTTTATAGACTTCTGTGTGTACATTCCCATCACGTGTGACTTGTTTATAGACTTGTGTGTACATTCCCATCACATGTGTGACTTGTTTATAGACTTCTGTGTGTACATTCCCATCACATGTGTGACTTGTTTATAGACTTCTGTGTGTACATTCCCATCACGTGTGACTTGTTTATAGACTTCTGTGTGTACATTCCCATCACATGTGTGACTTGTTTATAGACTTCTTGTGTACATTCCCATCACATGTGTGACTTGTTTATAGACTTCTTGTGTACATTCCCATCACATGTGTGACTTGTTTATAGACTTCCGTGTGTACATGTAGCCTTCATAGGATAACTTGACAGCGCCCTTGCATATTAACTCCATGATCAAGTTTTAGTCAAATAATTTTCACGTTTTTCCCATTTCCTTTACATTTATATTATAAGATACTTAAAATACTTTATGAAATATATAAGGGCAATGAAATACATGAATCGGGGTACTCAAATTTGCGAAAGGCTTTTGCCCAGACGGGCTTTTGTAGCAAGGGGCTTTTGGCCGGAAGCCATTTCCTCACAGGGCTGTTGGAGACGACGACCTGCGTGTAATGTACAGCGCATCTCAGATGTGATGTGATTGGCTACGACATTAGGTCCAACATGCTATTCAGATACAAACTATTCTCAGTGTTAGTCCAGTTGATAATGGCTGACTTCCCAGGACATTCAGTGTAAGCCTGATGGACATGAACAAGACACCCTGATGTAAAGAATGACTTCAATCCACGAAATCTGGCAGTGGCTTTGGTTTCTGGGTAATAGAGTTACCTCCCTTTCCTTAATGCCAATGATGATTTTGTTGGTATTGAAAATCAAGGTCGGGTAAGTTGTGATTCCAAGTACCACAGAAACAGATACAAGGTTAGTGCATGTGTACCGAGATACAGAAGCTGCTGAGACAAGGAGCATGTCCGTGAAACCAATGTAGACATGTTTGACTGTGGAAGACACAACACCAGCAGGGAACACCCTGGATCACCAGCAGATGGGTAAGCCTGCCAGTTGAGGCTGGATCACCAGCAGATGGGTAAGCCTGCCAGTAGAGGCTGGATCACCAGCAGATGGGTAAGCCTGCCAGTTGAGGCTGGATCACCAGCAGATGGGTAAGCCTGCCAGTTGAGGTCACTTCCATGCAGCCATATGGGATGACTTCTGTCACTGTGGGGTGTACCCCCAGGCTAGATCCCCCTCCCTCATACAATTGTAATGCTGCTATGAATGAAAAATAAGGAACTTCATCAAACAAACCAAACTTTATCTCTGTTTATTTCTGCCAGAAGATCTTGTCTTCAGTCAATACTAAAATGATACAAGACAGATGTAGTATCTGTGGAAACTCCCATCACAATAGCCTACTATCTCCTACAGTGCTTGTGTTACCATGGTCACTGTCAAATGATCTGTTATCAACAAGTAATTGAGCAATATTACATATCATGTTACGATACATCTGTGTCCATTCACATGCACAGCTACAGGTATGTAGTCTGAGATGAATCACAATCAGTTCTGGTTATTGAAACAAACAGGTTCTAAGTCTGGAGTTCTGAAATGTCCCTGGCCTGATCTGGGAAGAGGTAGGGGCCATATCAAAAGACTCTTCATCAGCTGGCTTACAAAGCCTATCAAAACTGAAATAAAAAATAAAAAGCCCAAAATGTGAAGACAAAATTGCCCCCCCCAAATTCATATCCTATTAAATGTTAGAGATCCGCCAAATGAGATGTAAGGGGTAACTCACTTTTCATGATTAACTTCAATATGTGGCTCCAACTCTTTTGAACAGCCTTCCAACATCTCTCAAATCTACGGACTCCAGTCTCCAGTCATTCCACTGTGACTTGAAAACCTATCTCTTCAACCAATAACTCTGTTTAATTTATTTATATTTTTAACTTTGTGAAGCACCACTGAGCAGCCACCGGTTGGAAAATAGGTGCTATACAAGTGCATTATTATTATTATATTATTATTATCCACTCTTACGGAGGTAAACAAGTACCAACCAATGGCAACCATGCTTAGTGTCGAGTCAATTTCAAACAATATCAGGGTGCACAGACAAGTTCTTTAATCATAAAAAAACTACAGAAAACAAGAACTTGGCTGAGAAATTTGTCTAGCAACTGATTACAAATACATGGCCTTTCTTAAGTATTATGGAGTGACAGAGTGGGGCTCAACAACATTTGTGGTCATACAGCAGCAGCATGATGCCACATCTCTCAAACACATGTAAATGAACACAAGACAAAAAAGAACTTTAAATGATAACAATTGTGAATATCAACATAACCTCCATAATCTACTGTGTCCTGAAAACTTGTAGGAAGAGTGAGCGAGTTGGATTGCATATTATTTTAAATAATATCACGGAATTCATCTTCGCATGGAAGAAAAGTCGGAAGTGAAGCTCACAACTGGACATAGCTGCTCCTGCTGCCATATTGAAAATATGGATTGGTTCAATGGACAATGTGCAAACAGGCTAAGACATCATCTCACTTGACTATCACCTTTCAGTGAGTTGAGCTAACATACATGGGAACAGGTGGACTTCCCCCAAACTACCCAACCTCAACACCAGACACACACCTAAATGGAGGGGACACAGGTGCACACAGGTGTACTTCCCCCAAACTACCCAACCTCAACACCAGACACACACCTAACTGGAGGGGGACACAGGTGGATACAGGTGTACTTCCCCCAACCTACCCAACCTCAACACCAGACACACACCTAACTGGAGGGGGACACAGGTGCACACAGGTGTACTTCCCCCAAACAACCCAACCTCAACACCAGACACACACCTAACTGGAGGGGGACACAGGTGGACACAGGTGGACTTCCCCCAAACAACCCAACCTCAACACCAGACACACACCTAACTGGAGGGGGACACAGGTGGACACAGGTGTACTTCCCCCAAACATCCCAACCTAGACACCAGACACACACCTAACTGGAGGGTGGACACAGGTGGACACAGGTGGACTTCCCCCAAACATCCCAACCTCAACACCAGACACACACCTAACTGGAGGGGGACACAGGTGGACACAGGTGGACTTCCCCCAAACAACCCAACCTCAACACCAGACACACATCTAACTGGAGGGGGACACAGGTGCACACAGGTGTACTTCCCCCAAACATCCCAACCTCAACACCAGTCACACACCTAACTGGAGGGGGGACACAGGTGGACTTCCCCCAAACAACCCAACCTCAACACCAGACACACATCTAACTGGAGGGGGACACAGGTGCACACAGGTGTACTTCCCCAAACATCCCAACCTCACACTGGAGGGGGACACAGACACAGGTGGACTTCCCCAAACAACCCAACACATCTAACTGGACCAGACACACACCTAACTGGAGGGGGACACAGGTGGACACAGGTGGACTTCCCCCAAACAACCCAACCTCAACACCAGACACACATCTAACTGGAGGGGGACACAGGTGGACACAGGTGGACTTCCCCCAAACATCCCAACCTCAACACCAGACACACACCTAACTGGAGGGGGACACAGGTGGACACAAGTGGACTTCCCCCAAACAACCCAACCACAACACCAGACACACATCTAACTGGAGGGGGACACAGGTGGACACAGGTGGATACAGGTGGACTTCCCCCAAACAACCCAACCTCAACACCAGACACACACCTAACTGGAGGGGGACACAGGTGGACACAGGTGGACACAGGTGGACTTCCCCCAAACACCAGGCACACACTCTCCATGACTGTACATCGGCAAATAAATTCATCTACAATTGATATTGCAAATATTTGATCTGCATGCTCTCCTTCCAGCAGCAGTTGTCAAGGGGACACTTTAACAAATGCATCACCTGTTATTCTTCACAACTTTCACAAAAACAGTCTGACCCATGAACATTTAGAACAGTTAGAACTGATCTTCAGTAACACATGCTTGTAAGAGGCAACAAACAGGATCGGATGGTCAGGCTCGCTGACTTGGTTGACACATATCCCAATAGTGTAGATCAATGCTCATGCTGTTGATCACTGGATTGTCTGGTCCAGACACAAACAGTCTACAAAATAAACACCTATCTGTCAATCTGCTGCTACTTGTTTCGTGTCAGTGACACCAACGTCAACATGGCCTGACCGGTTAGTTTTCGATGTAGTGACAAATAATATTGTTATACTTCCGTCAAATATGCAAGTATGACATACAAAATCTACACAAAAGTGGAGACTAGATTTTAAATGGCTGGCTTACAACATGTCCAGGAAGTACTGTAACTCAGTTCATGCTTGTTTTGGTCTCCAGCTGTGCAACAGAAACCTGTTTGATACTGACTAAGATTGTGCTCACTTCGTCAAAACATGAAACAGCATCTCACTCTGACAAAAGGTGTTCAAAATAGACATCAGCCGTAAGACTGGTTTTCAGGCTGACAGTTTTCAGCAATATATGGTAAGCTGTAAGCATGGTAAGTGAGTCACACCACTGAGTCGGCTGTGTACAACAGGGTCCAGTTTGCAAGTACTCTGGCTGACAGATGCAAGGCGGAGAAGAGGCCAGTTTGTCTGAAGTGCAGTAGGTATCACACTACTAGCTCTTGATACCATTACAATATTTCCAGTAGCTCATACACCTTGTCTGTTTGTCCACAGATTTTATGAGGCCATTCTGTGTCTCTTCACTTACAGTTTCCACTTGGCCGACAGTTTTTCAAAAGTACTGCGCCTTGAGGCTCTCAACATACTGTTCTGGGTATCGGACACTATTGACAACAAACTTTACCTTGTATTTGTAGGGAAATTTAAGAAACATCTAACATTGGCTGGTAGAAACTAGCTTGAGTGGGTGGCTGGTACCGATGAAACAATCTGTCCCACACTCGACACATGCATACTATCACGTAACACAGTAGTGTGGTAAGACTTTGATATAGGCACAATGTAGATATTACAGGAATTATTACATGTACAGTCATTGTGAAAATCAACATTTCAGTAATTGTCTGTTACATCTTTGAGTTCCATCTCACTCTGTCAAGATTAAAATGCCATCTCTCTGTCTACTAATGATGGTCACATGATCTGATGAGGATCACATGCTCTACTGAGGTCACATTATCAGCTAGAAGTCATTGACCTTCTCTTGTAGGAGATGAAGACAGACCAGATGAGAGACACGGCATTGCCAAACAGCACCGGTACTGGAAGAAAAGAAAATATCTACAACAGATTACCTCTACCTAGTGAAGTGATGTCACAGCCCCACCAGGAATAACAGATCACCTCTACCTAGTGAAGCCCTGACGAGGAATAACAGATCACCTCTACCTAGTGAAGTAATGTCACAGCCCCCACCAGGAATAACAGATTACCTCTACCTAGTGAAGTAATGTCACAGCCCCCACCAGGAATAACAGATTACCTCTACCTAGTGAAGTAATGTCACAGCCCCCACCAGGAATAACAGATTACCTCTACCTAGTGAGTAATGTCACAGCCCCACCAGGAATAACAGATTACCTCTACCTAGTGAAGTAATGTCACAGCTCCCACCAGGAATAACAGATTACCTCTAACTGGTGAAGTAATGTCACAGCCCCACCAGGAATAACAGATCACCTCTACCTAGTGAAGTAATGTCACAGCCCCACCAGGAATAACAAATCACCTCTACCCTAGTGAGTAATGTCACAGCCCCACCAGGAATAACAGATCACCTCTACCTAGTGAGTAATGTCACAGCCCCCACCAGGGAATAACAGACTACCTCTACCTGGTGAAGTAATGTCAAAGCACCCTCCAGGAATAACAGAATACCTCAGATAGCTGCATGTGTCAGATAGCTGCGTGTGTCAGATAGCTGCATGTGTCAGATTCCTGCATGTGTCAGATTCCTGCATGTGTTAGATAGCTGCATGTGTTAGATAGCTGCATGTGTTAGATAGCTGCATGTGTTAGATAGCTGCTTGTGTTAGATAGCTGCATGTGTTAGATAGCTGCATGTGTCAGATAGCTCCATTCTGTGTCTCTTCACCTTACAGTTTCCACTTGGCGACAGTTTTTCAAAAGTACTGCCTTTGAGGCTCTCAACATACTGTTCTGGGTAATCAGACACTATTGACAACAAACTTTTACCTTGTATTTGTAGGGAAATTTAAGAAACATCTAACATTGGCTGGTAGAAACTAGCTTTGAGTGGGTGGCTGGTACCGATGAAACAATCTGTCCCACACTCGACACATGCATACTATCACGTAACACAGTAGTGTGGTAAGACTTTGATATAGGCACAATGTAGATATTACAGGAATTATTACATGTACAGTCATTGTGAAAATCAACATTTCAGTAATTGTCTGTTACATCTTTGAGTTCCATCTCACTCTGTCAAGATTAAAATGCCATCTCTCTGTCTACTAATGATGGTCACATGATCTGATGAGGATCACATGCTCTACTGAGGTCACATTATCAGCTAGAAGTCATTGACCTTCTCTTGTAGGAGATGAAGACAGACCAGATGAGAGACACGGCATTGCCAAACAGCACCCGGTACTGGAAGAAAAAGAAAATATCTACAACAGATTACCTCTACCTAGTGAAGTGATGTCACAGCCCCCACCAGGAATAACAGATCACCTCTACCTAGTGAAGCCCTGACGAGGAATAACAGATCACCTCTACCTAGTGAAGTAATGTCACAGCCCCCACCAGGAATAACAGATTACCTCTACCTAGTGAAGTAATGTCACAGCCCCCACCAGGAATAACAGATTACCTCTACCTAGTGAAGTAATGTCACAGCCCCCACCAGGAATAACAGATTACCTCTACCTAGTGAAGTAATGTCACAGCCCCACCAGGAATAACAGATTACCTCTACCTAGTGAAGTAATGTCACAGCTCCCACCAGGAATAACAGATTACCTCTAACTAGTGAAGTAATGTCACAGCCCCCACCAGGAATAACAGATCACCTCTACCTAGTGAAGTAATGTCACAGCCCCCACCAGGAATAACAAATCACCTCTACCTAGTGAAGTAATGTCACAGCCCCCACCAGGAATAACAGATCACCTCTACCTAGTGAAGTAATGTCACAGCCCCCACCAGGAATAACAGACTACCTCTACCTAGTGAAGTAATGTCAAAGCACCCTCCAGGAATAACAGAATACCTCAGATAGCTGCATGTGTCAGATAGCTGCATGTGTCAGATAGCTGCATGTGTCAGATTCCTGCATGTGTCAGATTCCTGCATGTGTTAGATAGCTGCATGTGTTAGATAGCTGCATGTGTTAGATAGCTGCATGTGTTAGATAGCTGCTTGTGTTAGATAGCTGCATGTGTTAGATAGCTGCATGTGTTAGATAGCTGCATGTGTTTGATAGCTGCATGTGTCAGATAGCTGCATGTGTCAGATAGCTGCATGTGTCAGATTCCTGCATGTGTTAGATAGCTGCATGTTTTAGATAGCTGCATGTGTTAGATAGCTGCATGTTTTAGATAGCTGCATGTGTTAGATATAGCTGCATGTGTCAGATAGCTGCATGTGTCAGATTCCTGCATGTGTTAGATAGCTGCATGTTTTAGATAGCTGCATGTGTTAGATAGCTGCATGTGGCAGATAGCTGCATGTGTCAGATAGCTGCATGTGTTAGATAGCTGCATGTGTTAGATAGCTGCATGTGTCAGATAGCTGCATGTGTCAGATAGCTGCATGTGTCAGATAGCTGCATGTGTCAGATTCCTGCATGTGTTAGATAGCTGCATGTTTTAGATAGCTGCATGTGTTAGATAGCTGCATGTTTTAGATAGCTGCATGTGTTAGATATAGCTGCATGTGTCAGATAGCTGCATGTGTCAGATAGCTGCATGTGTCAGATTCCTGCATGTGTTAGATAGCTGCATGTTTTAGATAGCTGCATGTGTTAGATAGCTGCATGTGTCAGATAGCTGCATGTGTCAGATAGCTGCATGTGTCAGATAGCTGCATGTGTCAGATAGCTGCATGTGTGTGATAGCTGCATGTGTTAGATAGCTGCATGTGTTTGATAGCTGCATGTGTCAGATAGCTGCATGTGTTTGATAGCTGCATGTGTTTGATAGCTACATGCGTTTGATAGGTGCATGTGTTTGATAGCTGCATGTGTCAGATAGCTGCATGTGTTTGATAGGTACATGTGTTTTACATAGCTGCATGTGTCAGATAGCTGCATGTGTCAGATAGCTGCATGTGTTAGATAGCTGCATGTGTCAGATAGCTGCATGTGTCAGATAGGTGCATGTGTCAGATAGGTGCATGTGTTTGACAGCTGCATGTGTTAGATAGCTGCATGTGTCAGTTAGGTACATGTGTCAGATAGCTGCATGTGTCAGATAGTTGCATGTATGAGATAACTGCATGTGGTTGATAGGTGCATGTGTCAGATAGGTGCATGTGTCAGATAGCTGCATGTGTTTGATAGCTGCAGGTGTTTGATAGCTGCATGAGTCAGATGGCTGCATGTGTTAGATAGCTGCATGTGTTAGATAGGTGCATGTGTTAGATAGGTGCATGTGTTTGACCACTGCATGTGTTAGATAGGTGCATGTGTTTGATAGCTGCATGTGTTAGATAGCTGCATGTGTCAGATAGGTGCATGTGTCAGATAGCTGCATGTGTTTGATAGCTGCATGTGTTAGATAGCTGCATGTGTTTGATAGCTGCATGTGGTTGATAGCTGCATGTGTCAGATAGGTGCATGTATCAGATAGCTGCATGTGTCAGATAGGTGCATGTGTTTGATAGCTGCATGTGTTAGATAGGTGCATGTGTTTGATAGCTGCATGTGTTAGAGAGCTGCATGTGTCAGATAGGTGCATGTGTTTGACAGCTGCATGTGTTTGATAGGTGCATGTGTTTGATAGCTGCATGTGTCAGTTAGGTACATGTGTCAGATGGCTGCATGTGTCAGATAGGTGCATGTGTTAGATAGCTGCATGTGTCAGTTAGGTACATATGTCAGATGGCTGCATGTGTCAGATAGCTGCATTTGTTAGATAGCTGCATGTGTTAGATAGCTGCATGTGTGAGATAGCTGCATGTGTTTGATAGCTGCATGTGTCAGATAGCTGCTTTTGTTATATAGCTGCATGTGTTAGATAGCTGCTTGTGTTAGATAGCTGCATGTGTTAGATAGCTGCATGTGTTTGATAGCTGCTTGTGTCAGATAGCTGCATGTGTCAGATAGCTGCATGTGTCAGATAGCAGCATGTTTTAGATAGCTGCTTGTGTTAGATAGCTGCATGTGTCAGATAGCTGCATGTGTCACATAGCTGCATGTGTTTGATAGCTGCATGTGTTAGATAGCTGCATGTGTTTGACCACTGCATGTGTTAGATAGGTGCATGTGTTTGATAGCTGCATGTGTTAGATAGCTGCATGTGTCAGATAGGTGCATGTGTCAGATAGCTGCATGTGTTTGATAGCTGCATGTGTTAGATAGCTGCATGTGTTTGACCACTGCATGTGTTAGATAGGTGCATGTGTTTGATAGCTGCATGTGTTAGATAGCTGCATGTGTCAGATAGGTGCATGTGTCAGATAGCTGCATGTGTTTGATAGCTGCATGTGTTAGATAGCTGCATGTGTTTGATAGCTGCATGTGGTTGATAGCTGCATGTGTCAGATAGGTGCATGTATCAGATAGCTGCATGTGTCAGATAGGTGCATGTGTTTGATAGCTGCATGTGTTAGATAGGTGCATGTGTTTGATAGCTGCATGTGTTAGAGAGCTGCATGTGTCAGATAGGTGCATGTGTTTGACAGCTGCATGTGTTTGATAGGTGCATGTGTTTGATAGCTGCATGTGTCACATAGCTGCATGTGTTTGATAGCTGCATGTGTTAGATAGCTGCATGTGTTAGATAGGTGCATGTGTTTGACCACTGCATGTGTTAGATAGGTGCATGTGTTTGATAGCTGCATGTGTTAGATAGCTGCATGTGTCAGATAGGTGCATGTGTCAGATAGCTGCATGTGTTTGATAGCTGCATGTGTTAGATAGCTGCATGTGTTTGATAGCTGCATGTGGTTGATAGCTGCATGTGTCAGATAGGTGCATGTATCAGATAGCTGCATGTGTCAGATAGGTGCATGTGTTTGATAGCTGCATGTGTTAGATAGGTGCATGTGTTTGATAGCTGCATGTGTTAGAGAGCTGCATGTGTCAGATAGGTGCATGTGTTTGACAGCTGCATGTGTTTGATAGGTGCATGTGTTTGATAGCTGCATGTGTCAGTTAGGTACATGTGTCAGATGGCTGCATGTGTCAGATAGGTGCATGTGTTAGATAGCTGCATGTGTCAGTTAGGTACATATGTCAGATGGCTGCATGTGTCAGATAGCTGCATTTGTTAGATAGCTGCATGTGTTAGATAGCTGCATGTGTGAGATAGCTGCATGTGTTTGATAGCTGCATGTGTCAGATAGCTGCTTTTGTTATATAGCTGCATGTGTTAGATAGCTGCTTGTGTTAGATAGCTGCATGTGTTAGATAGCTGCATGTGTTTGATAGCTGCTTGTGTCAGATAGCTGCATGTGTCACATAGCTGCATGTCTTAGATAGCTGCATGTGGCAGATGGCTGCATGTGTCAGATAGCTGCATTTGTTAGATAGCTGCATGTGTTAGATAGCTGCATGTGTGAGATAGCTGCATGTGTTAGATAGCTGCATGTGTCAGATAGGTGCATGTGTCAGATAGCTGCATGTGTTTGATAGCTGCATGTGTTAGATAGCTGCATGTGTCAGATAGGTGCATGTATCAGATAGCTGCATGTGTCAGATAGGTGCATGTGTTTGATAGCTGCATGTGTTAGATAGGTGCATGTGTTTGATAGCTGCATGTGTTAGAGAGCTGCATGTGTCAGATAGGTGCATGTGTTTGACAGCTGCATGTGTTTGATAGGTGCATGTGTTTGATAGCTGCATGTGTCAGTTAGGTACATGTGTCAGATGGCTGCATGTGTCAGATAGGTGCATGTGTTAGATAGCTGCATGTGTCAGTTAGGTACATATGTCAGATGGCTGCATGTGTCAGATAGCTGCATTTGTTAGATAGCTGCATGTGTTAGATAGCTGCATGTGTGAGATAGCTGCATGTGTTTGATAGCTGCATGTGTCAGATAGCTGCTTTTGTTATATAGCTGCATGTGTTAGATAGCTGCTTGTGTTAGATAGCTGCATGTGTTAGATAGCTGCATGTGTTTGATAGCTGCTTGTGTCAGATAGCTGCATGTGTCACATAGCTGCATGTCTTAGATAGCTGCATGTGTTAGATAGCTGCATGTGTGAGATAGCTGCATGTGTTAGATAGCTGCATGTGTCAGATAGGTGCATGTGTCAGATAGCTGCATGTGTTTGATAGCTGCATGTGTTAGATAGCTGCATGTGTTTGATAGCTGCATGTGGTTGATAGCTGCATGTGTCAGATAGGTGCATGTATCAGATAGCTGCATGTGTCAGATAGGTGCATGTGTTTGATAGCTGCATGTGTTAGATAGGTGCATGTGTTTGATAGCTGCATGTGTCAGATAGCTGCATGTGTCAGATAGCTGCATGTGTCACATAGCTGCATGTCTTAGATAGCTGCATGTCTTAGATAGCTGCATGTGTTCCAGTGGGCTGTGTTAGATAGCTGCACGTGTTCCAGTTGGCTGACCTTGACAGGAATGTACTTGATGTTTATGAACTGGATGATGGTCCAGACTTGCCAGTTCATCTTCAGGATGTACCAGTACGTGTCTCTGATCCGTCGCATGGAGGCAGCATGACCTTGACCCTGTAAGGATCACAAAAACTTCCTCACACTCAAACACCCAGGTAATCTCATCCAACATTACCTGTACACTTGCTGTAATAAATACTATTATGAATCTTACAAATCATAATGACAAATACTGAGTTAGTGAGTGAGTATGGTTTTAACCCGCTTGTAGCAATATTCCAGCAATAACACGGCAGGGGACACCAGAAATGGGCGTCAGATATTGTACCCATAAGAGGGAATCAAACCCAGGTGTTTGGCATGAAGAACCAACACTTCAACCACTAGGCTACCCCACAGTCCCTGACAAATACTGATATATCTTCAAACTGGAAAAATAACCGTTAACGTCACCATTCACGCAACTGACAGGTCAGAATAACACAGTCATCTTCTTATTCTCCTAGCCTTCACAGAACCAAGTAGCCTTCACAGAACCAAGTACGGAAACCAGGGGAGAGTTTCCTACAGACTTTGTCAAGGACATTTGGTTTACTGATAGTGAAACATCAGCTGCATGACCATATAAATCCACACTCACTCATTCTCAATAAATAGGCGCATTTGACCATATCAAAAGCCAAAAAATAACGTTAATATATATTTATTAACTATAAGATTATGTCAGAGTAGAGTATTAGTTACATAATATACAACAAGAGTTGTCAAGTAATCTTTGTTTTAAACATACTAGTTTTCGACTCAAAGTAATGCTTCGAGTTTCCAAAAATGTAGCTCAGTAATGTACGTTACGGTGAAAGTGATACTTAAATATGTTGATTAGTATAGATATTAAAGATCTACGCAATAATTTCAAAATAAAGCATTCGCTTCTTAAACTGACTGACTGACTGAGTTTGGTTTTACGCCGCTTTTAGCAATATTCCAGCAACATCACGGCAGGGGACACCAGAAATGGGCTTCACACATTGTGCCCATGTGGGGATGTTTAGATGCATAGTTCATCAGCCATAGTACACAATCAGCCACAACCAAGATACAGAAGTATATTGACCCTAGGAGAATGGATTGTATGAACAAAACTATGTCTATGTTTCCCTTACATTCTATGAGACAAAGAATCATATTGATACCAAAGTTTCAATTACCATTTTATCATATTTTTCGCAATAGTGAAGACATTAATGCGTAGATCTGTCGCCTAAGGACTCTATGGCACGTGGTGGGTTAAAATAGTTATGTGTGCAGAAGTCGTACTGAGATGGGCAACATCGCAATAAGAACATCCGAATGTACTGGTATCATACATTCAGTGATGTACATTTCTTTCTACCAACAATTTCCCAATATCTGTTCAAACTGGTTAAGCATTAAACAAAAAATGTTGATATCGTGATGAGACCGTTAATGTTTATAAATATCATGCAAGATAAATTTGGATATATTTTGTTTTCTTTGATATTATAATAGTCACGTACATTACATCCTTAACCATACGCATTTAACAGGCCTTGTTCAAACAGGGACATGGTAGAAATATGCAAACTTTGGGGATCCACCAGACTTCTTTTCACAGCTCTTTCTCATGACTTTCTCAAACCAGATGTGTCTTACTCGCATATATCTAAAACAGTGCCCCAAATCCTTAAATAAACTAAAGGAAGCTGACACAAATTTTCGTAAATTACAAACCGGCAACAGACACATTAGACTTGACAGTAAAGTTATTTAACGTCCTGTTCAGTTTCTTTGATAGGTAAATGAAACGTTTATCATTGCAAAATACTACAGTCTGTTTACCGGGTAATCAGTAGTGAAAATTACAAACTGACTGTCCTTTAAGGTGTGAGTAGTATTTGCGATGACAGTCACGTACGTTTCAAAATTAACAATCAATTGGATATATTTACTTTATTCCCGACATGTAGCAGACACGTGTTGTTTAAATCTTTAGTAAGGGTGGTTACATGTTGCAAAATGCAAAAGAATCAACTAGAAAGGAAAGCCAGGAAAACACAGAGCACGGCGACACAAATGCGTAATGGAATATCTAGAACTGAAATATTCCAGCTCCCTCCTTCCAGCACGTCTTGCTTGGGACCTACTTTAACTCAGATGTCCCATCTAGGACTGGTTGCCGCGGACCTACTTTAACTCAGACTTCCCATCTAGCACAGGATCCTGGGGACTTACTTTACCTCAGACATCCCCTCCAGAACAGGATGCTGGGGACCTACTTTAACTCAGATGTCCCATCTAGCACTGGTTGCCGCGGACCTACTTTAACTCAGACGTCCCCCTCCAGCACAGGTTGCCAATGACCTACTTTAACTCAGACGTCCCCCTTCAGCAAAGGATGCTGGGGACCTACTTTAACTCAGATGTCCCCTCCAGCACAGGATGCTGGGGACCTACTTTAACTCAGATGTCCCATCCAGCACTGGTTGTTGGGGACCCACTTTAACTCAGATGTCCCATCTAGCACTGGTTGCCAGGGACCTACTTTAACTCAGATGTCCCATCCAGCACTGGTTGTTGGGGACCCACTTTAACTCAGATGTCCCATCTAGCACTGGTTGCCAGGGACCTACTTTAACTCAGATGTCCCATCTAGCACTTGTTGTTGGGGACCCACTTTAACTCAGATGTCCCATCTAGCACTGGTTGCCAGGGACCTACTTTAACTCAGATGTCCCATCTAGCACTTGTCGCCGGGGACCTACTTTAACTCAGACGTCTCCTCCAGCACAGGATGCTGGGGACCTACTTTCACTCAGATGTCCCATCTAGCACTGGTTGCCAGGGACCTACTCTAACTCAGGCATCCCCTCCAGCACTGGTTGCCAGGGACTTACCTTAACTCAGGCATCCCCTCCGGCACTGGTTGCCAGGGACTTACCTTAACTCAGACATCCCCTCCAGCAATGGTTGCAAGGGACTTACCTTAACTCAGACATCCCCTCCAGCACTGGTTGCCAGGGGACTTACCTTAACTCAGACATCCCATCAGCACTGGTTGCCAGGGACTTACTTTAACTCAGACATCCCCTCCAGCACTGGTTGCCAGGGACTTACCTTAACTCAGACATCCCCTCCAGCACTGGTTGCCAGGGACTTACCTTAACTCAGACATCCCCTCCAGCACTGGTTGCCAGGGACTTACCTTAACTCAGACATCCCCTCCAGCACTGGTTGCCAGGGACTTACCTTAACTCAGACACATCCCTCCAGCACTGGTTGCCAGGGATTTACCTTAACTCAGGCATCCCCTCCGGCACTGGTTGCCAGGGACTTACCTTAACTCAGACATCCCCTCCAGCACTGGTTGCCAGGGACTTACCTTAACTCAGACATCCCCTCCAGCACTGGTTGCCAGGGACTTACCTTAACTCAGACATCCCCTCCAGCACTGGTTGCCAGGGACTTACCTTAACTCAGACATCCCCTCCAGCACTGGTTGCCAGGGACTTACTTTAACTCACTGGTTGCCAGGGATACCTTAACTCAGACATCCCCTCCGGCACTGGTTGCCAGGGACTTACCTTAACTCAGACATCCCTCCAGCACTGGTTGCCAGGGACTTGCCAGGGACTTCCAGCACTGGTTGCCAGGGACTTACCTTAACTCAGACATCCCCTCCAGCACTGGTTGCCAGGGACCTACCTTAACTCAGACATACCCCTCCAGCACAGGATGCTGGGGACCTACTTTATTTCAAACATACCCTCCAGCAATGGTTGCCGGGGAACTGCTTTAACTCAGACATCCCCTGCAGCACTGGTTGCCAGGGACTTACATTAACTCAGACATCCCCTCCAGCACTGGTTGCCAGGGACTTACCTTAACTCAGACATCCCCTCCAGCACTGGTTGCCAGGGACCTACCTTAACTCAAACATCCCCTCCAGCACTGGTTGCCAGGGACTTACCTTAACTCAGACATCCCCTCCAGCACTGGTTGCCAGGGACTTACCTTAACTCAGACATCCCCTCCAGCACTGGTTGCCAGGGACTTACCTTAACTCAGACATCCCCTCCAGCACTGGTTGCCAGGGACTTACCTTAACTCAGACATCCCCTCCAGCACTGGTTGCCAGGGACCTACCTTAACTCAGACATACCCCTCCAGCACAGGATGCTGGGGACCTACTTTATTTCAAACATACCCTCCAGCAATGGTTGCCGGGGAACTGCTTTAACTCAGACATCCCCTGCAGCACTGGTTGCCAGGGACTTACATTAACTCAGACATCCCCTCCAGCACTGGTTGCCAGGGACTTACCTTAACTCAGACATCCCCTCCAGCACTGGTTGCCAGGGACCTACCTTAACTCAAACATCCCCTCCAGCACTGGTTGCCAGGGACCTACCTTAACTCAGACATACCCCTCCAGCACAGGATGCTGGGGACCTACTTTATTTCAAACATACCCTCCAGCAATGGTTGCTGGGGAACTGCTTTAACTCAGACATCCCCTCCAGCACTGGTTGCCAGGGACTTACCTTAACTCAGACATCCCCTCCAGCACTGGTTGCCAGGGACCTACCTTAACTCAGACATACCCCTCCAGCACAGGATGCTGGGGACCTACTTTATTTCAAACATACCCTCCAGCAATGGTTGCCGGGGAACTGCTTTAACTCAGACATCCCCTCCAGCAATGGGTGCCGGGGAACTACTTTAACTCCGACATCCCCCTTCAGCACAGGATGCTGGGGACCTACTTAAACTCAAACGTCCCCTTCTAGCACTCACCTCCAGGACAGACACTACATAGAGGAACAGGAAGATGAAGGGTGGTGTGAAGATCAAACGATCAAACAAGACTTTCTTCAGAGCAGCATTGGGTCTGCCCTTAGGGAAGTACTTCTCCAGGTTGACGTAGAAGTAGTGAAAGACTGGCCCGCTCACACAGAACCTACAACACACCAACTTGCTGGGTAGTCACGGTTCAGACATCTTGTTACCATGGTTACAATGAAACTTGAATATACTGTTAGGCCATAAAACACAATACTATTCCATACACTTGATTACTATTGTTATGCTTGCATTACTATTGTTATGCTTGTATTACTTTTCCATCAACTTGTATCACTATAGCATACACTCGTATTACTATCAGCTAAACTTGCACACATCATACCACAAGCTCTCACACATATGTCATCCATATATATTACAGTGGCTAATTTTATAAAAAATAAATTTACCATCTCTATTTCCACAGTGCAATATATGTAGAATACATTCACAATATACATACACTCAATATACTTTCACAAATCACCATCATACAATGAATAAGTTATCTTTGAATATGTTTGCATACTTCATCTCTGTGTACAGTGGCTAATCTTGACACCAGCAAAGAGGAATGTCTGAGATCTCACCCGGAAGAGGCATATGCGAGGGTGCTTCTCCATGATATCCTGCCCTTGGTCTGTGGGTTGGGAGCAATCAGCTGGGATATAATGTTGCCTAGGGACGACACTACAGCACTGAAACAACAAAACAACCTTGTCATGGGATATAATGTTGCCTAGCAACGACACTACAGCACTGAAACAACACAACCTTGTCATGGGATGTATTGCTGCCTAGCGACGACACTACAGCACTGAAACAACACAACCTTGTCATTGGATATAATGTTGCCTACCAACTACACTACAGCACTGAAACAACACAACCTTGTCATGAGATGTAATGTTGCCTAGCGACGACACTACAGCACTGAAACAACACAACCTTGTCATGGGATATAATGTTGCCTAGCGACGACACTACAGCACTGAAACAACACAACCTTGTCATGGGATGTAATGTTGCCTACCAACTACACTACAGCACTGAAACAACACAACCTTGTCATGGGATGTAATGTTGCCTAGCGATGACACTCCAGCACTGAAACAACACAACCTTGTCATGGGATGTAATGTTGCCTAGCGATGACACTACAGCACTGAAACAACACAACCTTGTCATGGGATGTAATATTGCCTTGCGACGACACTACAGCACTGAAACAACACAACCTTGTCATGGGATGTAATGTTGCCTAGCGACGACACTACAGCACTGAAACAACACAACCTTGTCATGGGATGTAATGTTGCCTAGCGATGACACTACAGCACTGAAACAACACAACCTTATCATGGGATGTAATGCTGCCTAGCGATGACACTACAGCACTGAAACAACACAACCTTGTCATGGGATGTAATGTTGCCTAGCGATGACACTACAGCACTGAAACAACACAACCTTATCATGGGATGTAATGCTGCCTAGCGACGACACTACAGCACTGAAACAACACAACCTTGTCATGGGATGTAATGTTGCCTACCAACTACACTACAGCATTGAAACAACACAACCTTGTCATGGGATGTAATGTTGCCTAGCGATGACACTACAGCACTGAAACAACACAACCTTGTCATGGGATATAATGTTGCCTACCAACGACACTACAGCACTGAAACAACACAACCTTGTCATTGGATATAATGTTGCCTACCAACTACACTACAGCACTGAAACAACACAACCTTGTCATGGGATATAATGTTGTCATGGGATATAATGTTGCCTACCAAGCCGACACTACAGCACTGAAACAACACAACCTTGTCATGGGATGTAATGTTGTTAGCCATGACACTAGAAACAAACAACCTTGTCATGGATGACACTACAGCACTGAAACAACACAACCTTGTCATGGGATGTAATGTTGCCTACCAACTACACTACAGCACTGAAACAACACAACCTTGTCATTGGATATAATGTTCCCCAGCGACGACACTACAGCATTGAAACAACACAACCTTATCATTGGATATAATGTTGCCTAGCAACGACACTACAGCACTGAAACAACACAACCTTGTCATGGGATATAATGTTGCCTAGCGATGACACTACAGCACTGAAACAACACAACCTTATCATGGGATATAATGTTGCCTAGCAACGACACTATAGCACTGAAACAACACAACCTTGTCATGGGATATAATGTTGCCTAGCGATGACACTACAGCACTGAAACAGCGCAACCTTGTCATGGGATGTAATGTTGCCTAGCCACGACACTACAGCACTGAAACAACACAACCTTGTCATGGGATGTAATGTTGCCTAGCGATGACACTACAGCACTGAAACAACACAACCTTGTCATGGGATGTAATGTTGCCTAGCGATGACACTACAGCACTGAAACAACACAACCTTGTCATGGGATGTAATGTTGCCTAGCGATGACACTACAGCACTGAAACAACACAACCTTGTCATGGGATGTAATGTTGCCTAGCCACGACACTACAGCACTGAAACAACACAACCTTTTCATGAGATGTAATGTTGCCTAGCGATGACACTACAGCACTGAAACAACACAACCTTGTCATGGGATGTAATGTTGCCTAGCCACGACACTACAGCACTGAAACAACACAACCTTGTCATGGGATATAATGTTGCCTAGCGACGACACTACAGGACTGAAACAACACAACCTTGTCATGGGATGTAATGTTGCCTAGCCACGACACTACAGGACTGAAACAATAAAAACTAGGTCTTCAACGAGTCCAATTTCTTGGACTTGAGTACTCAAGGGGTCAAACTCGACTTGGACCCGAGTACTCGAAATTCATACCTTTCAAACAAACGACAACGTAACTGGCATGTGATATTACACAATGTGATGATTGTTTGATCAATACTGAAGTTGGTATCTTAGTAATACACAGCTCTTTCTTCATTCCAACTTGTGACTTACATTTCCTATTGGTCAGAATGTTATATTTGGGATTACACTTTCTTAGTAAAGTACAAATTCTAGTACTTTTTCTAAATGGCATTGCGTAATCATTGAATTTTTTTATTGCCAATTGTGCTGCAGTGCACTAAAACACTTCTCCATGTTTGAATGATGACGACAGCTGTGTCCAGTAATTAGAATTTTGTCCATAGTATCTCCATTCCATTGGTTGATGCACATCTGGAATATATTTAACATAACTGATCTCTTTGTTGACTGGGAAATCAATTGGTGTTGTATAGGAAAGACTGACTTGTTCAACAACAGATGTCAATTGCTGGAGAGTGACCTCAGCTCCTGGGTGCACCTGTTTACAGACAAACCCTTTCATTGTGAATATCTGTTTAGAAATGTTGCTGTATCATGTTAAAACATTGTGTGTAATCTAATGGTGATGTGATGCAGAAGGATTCACACTGTCCAGTACATGGAGTTGCTGTATCATGTTAAAACATTGTGTGTAATCTAATGGTGATGTGATGCAGGATGCTTCACACTGTCCAGTACATGGAGTTGCTGTATCATGTTACAACAGTGTGTGTAATCTAATGGTGATGTGACGCAGAAGGATTCACACTGTCCAGTACATGGAGTTGCTGTATCATGTTACAACATTGTGTGTAATCTAATGGTGATGTGATGCAGAAGGATTCACACTGTCCAGTACATGGAGTTGCTGTTCCTACTGGTGGAACAAACAACACATCTCCATCCTCCTGTTCTGTATTCAGTGTTGGTTCGCCTCCCTTTTACTCAGTAATGAAAACTAACTAAACAAGATTATAACGAGAGAATATTACTAATGGTATCTTTGAGAAGATTGATGAATTTCATGGAGGAAAGGCTCTAAATTTAGCTACACATTATAAATGATCCCTAGATGGTGACAATTGTGCAGATCGATGCTCATGCAGTTGATCACTGGATTGTTTGTTCCAGACTCGATTATTTACAGACCGCCGCCATAAAGCTGGAATATTGCCGAGTGTGGCATAAAACTAAACTCGCTCACTCACTCATCTGGATGGTAAAAAGAGAAAACAACCAAATGCCAGCTGTGCGGTATATCAATGCCTTATGCAGGGAGTACAACCAGTACAATGAAAAGGCATTTGTTATGTAAACATCCAAATACTGATATGTTACAAAAAATCCAAGCTACATAATACTTAGCATAAACCTAAAAATAATCCTGGATAAAATTAAACAACCTGTATGATATATTGCCTACGTGTGGGCTATACATAATCAGATAGATGGGCCAATCATATGAACAGGGGCTGTACATGGGCTATACATAAGCAGATAGATGGGCCGATCATATGAACAGGGGCTGTATATAGGCTACATATAATCAGATAGATGGGCCGATCATATGAACAGGGGCTGTATATAGGCTATACATAATCAGATAGATGGGCCAATCATATGAACAGGGGCTGTATATAGGCTACACATAATCAGATAGATGGGCCGATCATATGAACAGGGGCTGTATATAGGCTATACATAATCAGATAGATGGGCCCATCATATGAACAGGGGCTGTATATAGGCTATACATAATCAGATAGATGGGCCCATCATAACAGGGGCTGTATATAGGCTATACATAATCAGATAGATGGGCCCATCATATGAACAGGGGCTGTATATAGGCTATACATAATCAGATAGATGGGCCCATCATAACAGGGGCTGTATATAGGCTATACATAATCAGATAGATGGGCCCATCATATGAACAGGGGCTGTATATAGGCTACACATAATCAGACGGATGTGACCTTAATTGGAACAATTCATTCTTACTTCCACGGACATCATACTTTTTTTTACGGCAGTGTTTAGTCGCACTATAAAGAAGAATATTCAGATGATGACTTTTTTATGAGATAAATATGTCGGCCGTATATGTCTTTTATACGTTAGCGAGATGTTGTCACAGCTGTTCATCTGATTATCGACAAAGCGTCCGAAAACCGATAATATGGCTGAAGGGGTCGTTGATGGCACGGGTACTACAGATCTGTATACAGATCTGTACCCTAAACAAAGACAAAATACAGAAACATACCCGTACCCTAAACATCCCCCCAACCCCAAATTGGAGCCATATGGATTTGTTCCCATTAACTAATTGCGAGTTGTTGTGTACATCACGAAACATTTGTAATAGCGTGTGCTCCTTTCACATAGAAAGCAACCAAATGCATCTAATACAACAGTATGACAGTTTAGATCAAGAAAATGACACAGTGCACAATGGACTCGTCCTAGGGTATGTTTCTGTTTTTTGACAGGGTACGTTTATGCATACAGAAACGTACCTGGGGTACAATATGTATAGTATGGTGCCGACAACGACCCCTCAGCCATAATATAAGGATAAATTTAACTTTCGATGTCAGATCTACAAGCATTTCCGTGAATATGTGCTCCCATATATCTATTGAACAAACATTTAGTATGATTTCTAGACGACGGATGAAAATGTGTGATAAAAGTGATATTATTTTCTGATAAGGTCCCTAGATCTAAATTCCGTTGATTTTTGGTACTCGCCTGGTACAAGCTTTAGTTATAACAGGCTTTTCTTGCAAGAGTTTCAAGTATGCCTTCAATGCCTTTTCCACAGGATTGTCTTCCTTTCTTTTACTTAAGCTCATTCTGACTGTCAACGTCTACAAACAGTTTAAACTATCACAGATGTCGGCTGATGGAACTTTGAACTCGTTTGTTTACACTCTTATGGGGGCTGACATATTGAATCTCGTGAAATCGCAAGTAGCTGCCCGAGACCTGACTGCAATGCTATTTCCTGTACTACAAATTTTAATAATAATCGACTCAAATCGAAGTGTGAGAATATATCCTTTTTATCATTGCGGTGACATCTCTTTTTAACTGAAGTCAGAATCAATATATCACACTACCTTATAATAAGTGATAGTAAAAACTTCTATATCTCCACCTAGTTTTTCTTATTATGATATTACCGTAGGGTGCCAGTCAAATCGCCCCAGCTACAAAACGCCCCAGCCAATTTGGTCAAAATGCCCCAGATTTTTGGTCAAATCGCCCCAGGTTTGGTCAAATTGCCCCAGGGGGGTAGTCAAAATGCCCCAGTGTATTTAAAATGATTAAATATATGCCATAGTTTTTGTCAACTTCCATATTATATACTTCCATATTATATACTTCGTATAATATTATATAGTAATATTTCTGATAGATTTTCTATTAGTATAAACTGATAAGAGCAAAAGTAATATTCATGTATAAACAACGCTATAATACCAATTATTTGCATGTTATTAATGCTTTTGTAAAGAATTACAAGAATAAAATGAAATGTTTGTATAAAATGTTTATTGGCCATAAATGCATAGTTTTTGTCAGCAAGTATGGTATAATACTTATCAAAACAATCTAGAGCTTTTGTTATTATTAATTAATCTTGTCAAAAGGTGAGGCCGTAAATGCATAGATTTTCTCAACAAGTATGGTATAATGCTTATCAAAACAATCTAGAGCTTTTGTTAATTAATCTTGTCAAAAAGTGTGGATAAAAACAGGCTATTAAAACATGTTCACTAATTGACATTCAATGCTGTGTTTAGTTAAAGGAAATGTTGAGGCTCGAATGTATGAACATTTCAGGCTATAAAAAACATATTCACTAATTGACCATCACCTATCGAGATTCAAAAATGTAATTTTGAACGATTCTAATATCTACAGTCATTTTGACTTAAATTTCGGTAGCAGATTTTGTCTAATCATACATTCTCGTCTCCAACTTGAATGTAGTGACCTTAATGCGCACAAATATGAAAGATTTATATCTCCGACATCATCTTGCTCTTGTGGCCATAACTATGAAGACTCTGCTCACTAGTTCTTTTCATGTACTCTTTACAACGATATACGTCAAATTATGTATTTTTATACTAAAGGATTTGACCTAAAATCAATTTTGTTTGGAAACCAACGCTGCTCCTCAATAGTAAACAAAGAACTTTTAATTTCAGTGCACTCTTTTATAAATTTAACAGGCAGATTTGATCCAAAATATTTTGTTTATATGACATATACAGTTTAACAATGATAGGCGTTATTTCTCGTTTTTGCAACATTTATATATCATTCACATTGTACATTCATCATGACGAGTTTATTCTTCCTTCCATTGTATCCCAGAGCGGTATTCATATAAGCTGATGCTTGTTTACCAATTTGGTTCCTTTCTTTGGAAATAAATATGTTTAAATAATAAATATTATACCATACTTGTTATGATTACATAATGCCATTTGTTGACCAAAAACTATTTACACCTAATAAACATATTATACAAACCTTTCATTTTACTCTTGTAATTCTTTACGAAATAATTGGTATTATAGTGTTGTTTATGTACATGAATATTACTTTTGGTCTTATCAGTTTACTAATCGAAAATTTATCAGAAATATCACTATATAATATTATATATAGAATATAATATGGAAGTTGACAAAAACTATGCATTTGTGGCATATATTTAACCAATTTAAATACATTACATTGGGGCAATTTGACTACCCCTGGGGCATTTTTGGCACCAAACCTGGGGCGGTAGCTGGGGCGATTTGACCTTACCGTACAAAATCTGGGGCATCTTTGACCAAATTGTACATTATTGAGGGGGCGTGTTTTGTAATATGGGAGACTCTTCGTGGAGTTCGTTGATTGCTTTATGACTGGCACAATTGTCTGTAAAGCAACATGCACGTGCAAGTAAGCGGAAAAGCATGCGGTATCGATCACTATAAAAAGGTAAACCTTGTGTTTAATTTTGTCATTCGTTTTTGCCTGGAAAAGATTGAAATCATCATGCAACGATTGAGTGCCGACAATCGAAACATCGCCATAGGCCGCCTTGAAGCTGGGGAGTCGCAGTCTGCAGTTGCCCGACATTTCAACGTTCATCAGAACAGAAAAGAACAGAACAGAACAGAGTCATTTCAGAGGCTTGGGTTCCTTCAACCCCCTCATCTACAGTATAAATAATACACATATAATGTGTACAGAGTATGAAGCAGGACGTGAATTATTTACGATACATACATTCTTTGATAAATGTTGCTATCAGCAATGTAGTGTTTTTATCAGTAGACTGCAACAGCTTTATAAGTGTATGTTTTGATGGACGCTCCCAAACGTAACGACTTATATATTTGACTCTATAAACATCGTACTTTTTACACACAAACAAAGTAAAATTCATCTTCAATTACAGAAATGCCATGTTCATTACACAAATCCCACAATCTATCATTTCTATGAATATTTAATAGCCACCTTATTCAATTTTGAATTTATGGGATGATATTCTTAAACGCGTTATATAAAATGAGAGACATGGAAGATAGGTAAGATATATTTAATAGAATAAATTGTGTTTAATTTCATTAAACAAAGCAAGTTTAGTACTTAAGACAATATCACTTTTCCATTTCTGTAGAAATTCATCAAGCAAACGTTCAAACCAAAATCATGTTTAAATATACCAGATTTGACAAACTTTTTAAATTCGCCCAGTTTTTAACTCCTCTTGTGCAAGATTCTAGCATGATATCATTACAGCTTTTCAAGACATGATTATTTGAACGTTGTAACTTGAACCAGTACTGTATAACTCTGACAAATCAGGTGCTATCTAATGGATATCGTCCCAGTTCCCCAGCAGCATCTGTTGATTCGGAGTGGTCTTTCAGAATTCGTTCTAAGAACGTGAAGTGGATACGTTCAGTTTCAGTAGTGAATGTTGTTCCCCATACTTCACAGCCACAGTTCTTGGTGCTTGAGACAAAAGCGTCGGACAGCTGACAGCAAGAACTTCGTGTGAAGTCCCCTTTCCGAATGTTAGCAAACAGCACGTTCATTGCTTTTAACCCTTTACCAGCGAGTGAATTCAGACATATTTTAAAGTTATAACATTTCCAAGATAGTTAAATTCGTTAACGGTCTCCAGCTTTCCATTACCAATAGTCCATGAATGTTTTAATGATGTTCTTTTTTTCAAATCTCATGACCATAGTTTTATTCACATTGAGGGTTAGACCTCACCTTTTACAATATGCATGTACTTCCAAACAGTTTCTGAGATCTTGCAAACCCTCTGCAGAATGTGACAGAAGAACCGTGTCGTCAGCAAACAAGATTAAAAAACTGACTTACGTAGTGAAGAATGATTCCATCGTTAGTGTTTTCTTTAAGCTCCTGCTCTAGATTCTCCAGGAAGAATGAGAATAATAGCGGTGTCATGACTTCGCCTTGCTGTATCCCAGCTCCAACACTGATATCATCAGATAGTGTAGAACCTTTCTCAACACACGACTTCACCTCATTGTACATGGATTTTATAACTGACCACATTTTCTCTTTTATACCATATACTAGTATACAGTTTTTCTTTGACATTTACAAATGTATGAACAGCTGATTGTAGTACGAATATTGCATCAACGGTGTCTATTGCTGATGAATTTCATTATATTTTTTAATGTCAAAATCTTTGTGATGCTAGGAAAATGCATTTATTATCCCACAAAACAAAGTTTGCAATTTTTTTGTTAATTTATTCACATCTAATGACACTAAAGAAATTATCAATTTATCAAAATTTGTATCAACAGTATCAGCCCTTATAAGAAACATAAACTGATACTAGTTACAGACATCTTGTATTATATTTTTGTATTTATATATAGTATACTATTTTAAAAAAGAAACGCATAACCCAGAAATCTGTTGCGAACATGTTGTATTTTTAAATATGTATAACTCGTCCACAAACAGACTTTAGTACATGAATTTGTACGTCAGTTTAGTAAAGGAAGTGTCTATACAACCAAGTGGATAATTTTAGATAACAGAGACGCTGAGCGCGATGGTGACGACGTAGCACGGTCCCGACGTCGGGCCTCCTGTCTCTCAGTCCAATCTCTCTCAACCTGTTCCGTACATTTTGACTGGATATCCTCTGAAGTCCAGGCACCCTGGCTGTCGTGCTCTCGCCCGTGGCAGTACGATCACGCAAATGTAGTACCCGGGTGTACCGATCTTGGGCTGCAATGGTGACTCATGGTTTGCCTGTGCGGGGACGGTAATTGTTGTGAACGGTTGGTTGTAACGAGCTGCAAGCCGTGATATCGTGCTCAGACTAACATTCAGACGTCTGGCAACAGAAGATTGGTAATCTCCACCGTGCATTCTTTGAATGGTGATGCTCCGTGTCGCAGCGTCAAGACGTGGCATAGTGATTTGACCTTGAAACTCCTTCAAAACGACTGACGATTTCCGAAAGTAATCTGGATTTTCATAGTCAGACAGTGCATGCTCTTTGCTTCACAATTTCAACTTTAAGGTGATTTATGTTGCGTTGTGGTGATGCCTTTTTAATCATTTAAAGAAATCTCATCAAAATCAACATTTTCAGGTAAAGTCGATTTTTTATTTGTGCAATTGTGTAAAATCATGTAATCAACACTTTTGTTACATATTTTGACGATTGTTTGAACACAGTAGGTAATTAATAGATTATAAAAATAACAAAACGCCTATGCGTTTCTTTTTTGGATAGTATATTAGTATTTATCTTTCCATTTGTTTTAGTATATAAAATATTGTATTCTCTCTTGTACCACCAACCGTGGTTATTTGAGAAAAAATGATTGATTGATTGGAAAGACCCTTCCTAAATCCAAACTGCACATCAGAGATACTAGTAGCTTCATTACTATCAGCCCAGATGGAGATCCTCTCTGTTAGAGTAGGTGGGAACAGTTTCGAGAAGCAACTTTAAGCGTTATACCTCTGTAATTGTTGACGTCATCTGTGGGGCCTTTCTTGTGTGAGAGGATAATCACTCCAGCTAACCAGCATCGTGGAAACATACCATAGGAGAATATCTTTTTGAATAATATCGTTAATGGTTCTAGAATCATATCACGTGCACACTTGAATATTTCATTCAGTAACCCAGCGAGTCCGACTGCTTTGTTTGTCTTCAACCTCGTCCACTGTGATCTCTACATCAAGATCATGGATAATAGAATTATTTTCGTTAATAATATGAAGCAAATGTTCCTCTATCTCCGGATTTTCAAATTCCCCCAAATCATTGAAAAGATCCCTGAAGTACCTCAGAAGATCACCTTCTTGCGGGGCGCTGTCACTTGAAATATTCCTTTCATTTTAAAAGTATTTCCAAAAGTCTTTTGGGTTTCTGTTTTTCAGATCTTCAATCTCCTGTGATTTCACACTTCGATATTAACTCCTTTTTCTCTTCGCCAGGTTCATCAGAGCACCATAACTCGCATTTGGGATCGTTTCCTGCGGACCAATTCCATCCAAGCTCGCCCGAGAAGCGGCCGTCCAAGAGTTACAACCCAAGCCCAGGACCGCTACATCCGGGCTGCTCTCTTGCGGCATCGTTTTGCCACAGCCGTGGAGACTGCACAACGCATCCCTGGTTTGAGAAGAGATTCCGACCAAGCTGTCAGAAATCGATTGCGTGAAGTGGGGATTCGACCAAGAAGGCCAGTTGTCGCCCCTGTTTTGAGAGACTTCCATCGGCGCAATCGCTTACGGTGGTGTCGAAGTCCGGAACTGGAACCTTACAAACTGGAGGCAAGGCTGGTTCACTGATGTATCACCATTATTTTCTTCTTCGCCGGCGAGATGGTAGACAGTGTGTTGACTGTCTGAGAAATGAACGTTTTGACCCCTAATTGCATTCGACAGGTCCGCATATTCGGTGGAGACAGTGTCATGGTGTGGGGTGGGATATCCAGCACATAAAGATGTAGTGGTGGTTCAGGGGAATTTGACAGCACATCAACGAAGGGAGTTGTTCCAGCGTGATAACGCTACTTCACATACATCAGGCGTCACGGTCCGCTACCTTGCCAGTTCTAACGTCAATGTCTTGCCATGGCCTTCCCGATCACCAGATCTAAACCCGATTGAACACCTGTGGGATGAACTCGATCGACGTGTACGTCAACGTCAAAACACGCCACAGACACTGGCCATCGTATTGCAGGAAGTGTGGGGAAGAATTCCGCAAGAGCGACTTAGTCGACTTATCCAGTCTGAACCAGACGGTGCCGAGCAGGAATTGCTGCCAATGTGGCCATACAAAGTACTGACTTTGACGCCATCTTGTGGACTAAAGTAAAAACAGAAACACAACAATTAATTTAAGGCTGTTGTTGTATTGGCGAACTCTTTGTCTATAGACGTGTGGATTTTCACCTTTTCACCATTGAAATTACATGAAATGATTGCTCTTAAACTAACGCAATATATTCTTCTACTTCAAAGATTAGAATATCAACGTAACTCATGTTATATTTGGGACTACACTTTCTCAGTAAAGCACAGATCGTAGTACTTTTGCTGGGTTGAGTCCCATCGATACCCAGGATTCGAACCCGCACCCTCAGACTCAGGCACCTTCTCGCCAGCACACAAAGTCAGCCCTCTTACCCACCCACTGATGGAATATCAACGCGTTCGAATGGATTAATTTGAGGGGGTAATGATAATGGTGGGGGAAAGATTTATTATTAGCCCGACATTCAAAACCTACCTGCTACTCAACTCAAAGAGATCGTAGCGCTAAGGTGATCGTAACGCCCACACTTTAACATAGACCTAGCTACGACTGTTGTAACGCTACGATCACTTTGAGGAACGGCACCCAGGGAGAATAGAAGCTGTAGATTATCCCTGGAGGAACGGGGCCCAGGAAAACAATGTCGATATGATGACACCCGGTAACTAGAAAGAAAGTAAGACGCATTCTCGGTACCGTCACAAAATACCAAAGAACTAAAATTGGAATGCGTGTATGTGTGATGCTTACAACAAAAATATATTATGTTGTATATTTATAATAAATAAGGTTCAAAGACTATGATCGAATATGACATGAGGAATCTGATGTTTCGTCGCCTATGTTGAGACTGTAATCAACAGACGACTGTTGATGTCCCACACATATGTAACTAGTTCGTAGGAAGTCTCTATCAGCGATGTTAGCAGCCATGTCGATTTCAACTCTGCAAATGATAAGCAAGTGACTACTGATGTCCGCGAGACTACAATGAAATGGAATGGTCTTTTACGTGACTTAATGCACATTGACAAGTCATAGAGTCACCTCACTCATCTCGCGACAGAAAATATGGAGTACCATTCTAGTAAAGCAGCAAACGGAGTGTGGATCGCTTGTATGTGGCTGGCCTTGGCGACAAGATTGACAGGTGGGGTTTGCTCGACAGAACCATATGATTACCGACTTATACTTAGCATAATTCGGTTGGTCGCACATGATGCTAGTGCATGTAACACCCTCGTTCAGTTAGATACAGAGTTCAATGCGTGTGAAATGCTGTCTGTGTTTCTCCAGTAAATATATATGCAGCCCAGAAGCCTACACTCGGCTCATCCATCTGTCTTAGCCTGACACTGGTGCATGTGACATGGATAGTTTATTTAATTGACACCTTGTGTCTACACAGCACCGGCCGTGTGGATTCTGTCATGTGTCATTACTTATTGAAGAAGGTGAAGTTTGAAGTAGAATGGACATGCACATCTGTAAAGTGTTCCAAGGTTCGGGTAATCACACCTCCACAGTACATCCACACTCTCAGATACAGCGGCATATACAAATCCCATCGCTGTCTAAAATAAAAGGACTTGCTGGTTCCTTAGTCATTTTATTACTTGAGATTTATATATGCTATTCTAACTGGTTATATTCAGAACTAACCTTTCCTGAGAAGTTGTAGCTTTATGCAATGTATTTTCAAAATATGGCTGCAGCCATGGTCTTGATTTAGACAAATGACTCATGAGTACTATGCAGAATGATCAAATCCTGTCAGAAATTCACATAATTGATATTGATAATTACACAATATTTAAAGTCAAGGACCAGGAGAATGTTCTGACTACATGAGTACAGATGTGATATATACCATTGTGTGTACTGTGAACACCTGTGCATGAAGTTCCTCTAGCTTGAGATGAAGTCAGAAATGCCATTCTAGCTGATGGACCTGTGTCATGAGACTGACATCTAGCCACAGAAATTAACATACTTGACTAAAATTAAGAACGGTTTCTAAATTGTATTCATAAAATATGACAAAAAGGAGCCAAGAGAATTTCTTCCTGAAACTTGGATGATCTAGACTTGCCACATATTCTAGACTTGCATGAGCTTATGTTGGTATATTTGTCTCAAGGTATGTATGACTGTGTCATGTATATATGTTTGTAGTTGAAAGAAGTAAGTTTGTCAAAGCTGTGAAATGCATACATCAATTAATGGTGTGAACAGGTGCACTCACAACTTTGTCAGGCGATAGACACTGTCTGTGATGGAAGCCTAACACGTTGTTAATGAAGAGATAATTGCAGCTGTGTCTATGTTTGTTTTAATCACTCGCCAGTGTTGGCCGACCATTGTTGTACTTGGATGTTTTCACAGGGAATCACCAGTGTTTGGATCCAGAAGAGTGCTGATATTAACATGGTGTCATTGAGTAATAGTGGTTTTAACTGATAAATAGATGTATGTTTCGATAATTGAGCATCTGAAAGTACAAATCTCATGGGCATATACAACTTTGCAGGATAGATTGTGACATTGTTCATGTAAATATCATCTTTGAAAGCATATGTTTAACTCTCTATCTATCAGCAGTTGTACACAGGTCATTTGTACAGGACACTCGTCCTGCCATCAGCTGAAGTAGAGAGCTAGTATACAGGGTATATGTATACGATTCACAGGTGGTCCCTGGTGGTGTGTGGTCCGTGATGGTGTGTGGTCCGTGGTGGTGTGTGGTCCATGGTGGTGTGTGGTCCCTGGTTGTGTGTGGTCCCTGGTTGTGTGTGGTCAGTGGTGGTGTGTGGTCCGTGGTGGTGTGTGGTCCGTGGGGGTGTGTGGTCAGTGGTGGTGTGTGGTCCGTGGTGGTGTGTGGTCAGTGGTGGTGTGTGCCCCGTGGTGGTGTGTGGTCAGTGGAAGTGTGTGGTCCGTGGTGGTGTGTGGTCCCTGGTGGTGTGTGGTCCGTGGGGGTGTGTGGTCAGTGGTGGTGTGTGGTCCGTGGTGGTGTGTGGTGGTGTGTGGTCAGTGGTGGTGTGTGGTCCGTGGGGGTGTGTGGTCCGTGGAGGTGTGTGGTCAGTGGTGGTGTGTGGTCCGTGGTGGTGTGTGGTCCGTGGGGGTGTGTGGTCCGTGGTGGTGTGTGTGGTCCGTGGTGGTGTGTGGTCCGTGGTGGTGTGTGGTCCGTGGTGGTGTGTGGTCCCTGGTGGTGTGTGGTCCATGGTTGTGTGTGGTCCGTGGTGGTGTGTGGTCCCTGGTGGTGTGTGGTCCATGGTTGTGTGTGGTCCATGGTGGTGTGTGATCCCTGTTTGTCTGTGGTCCATGGTTGTGTGTGGTCCATGGTGATGTGTGGTGTGTGGTCAGTGGTTGTGTGTGGTTCATGGTGGTGTGTGGTCCATGGTGGTGTGTGGTGTGTGGTTCATGGTGGTGTGTGGTCAGTGTGGTCAGTGGTTGTGTGTGGTTCATGGTGGTGTGTGGTCCATGGTGGTGTGTGGTGTGTGGTTCATGGTGGTGTGTGGTCAGTGGAGGTGTGTGGTCCATGGTGGTGTGTGGTGTGTGGTCAGTGGTGGTGTGTGGTCAGTGGAGGTGTGTGGTCAGTGGTGGTGTGTCGTCAGCGGAGGTGTGTGGTCCATGGTGGTGTGTGGTCCGTGGTGGTGTGTGGTCCGTGGAGGTGTGTGGTCCATTGTGGTCAGTGGAGGTGTGTGGTCCATGGTTGTGTGTGGTCCATCGTGGTGTGTGGTCAGTGGAGGTGTGTGGTCCATTGTGGTCAGTGGTGGTGTCTGGTCCGTGGTGGTGTGTGGTCTGTGGAGGTGTGTGGTCCATGGTGGTCCTGGTCCGTGGTGGTGTGTGGTCCATGGTGGTGTGTGATCTGTGGTGGTGTGTGGTCCGTGGTGGTGTGTGGTCAGTGGAGGTGTGTGGTCAGTGGAGGTGTGTGGTCCATGGTGGTGTGTGGTCCGTGGTGGTGTGTGGTCAGTGGAGCTGTGTGGTCCATTGTGGTCAGTGGATGTGTGTGGTCCATGGTTGTGTGTGGTCGTTGAGGTGTGTGGTCCGTGGTGGTGTGCGGTCCGTGGTGGTGTGTGGTCCATTGTGGTGTGTGGTCCATTGTGGTGTGTGGTCCATTGTGGTGTGGTCCTGTGCATAGACATGATAGAACTCAGGACACAGTTAGTTGAAGTTAAGCAACACTGAGCGCTGAGAGCCCTTGGATGGCTGACCGTGTTTGGCAGTTTGACTCCTGAGAGTTTCTGGGACTTCAGTCTGATACATGTGGTGTCACCTTAGGCACTTTATAAATGGCCATTATTATTACTATTACAGTACAATCAACCACAGTACAGTATAGAACTGATACACAGATGTATTGACCACAGTACAGTATTTTGCTGATACACAGATGTATTGACCACAGTACAGTATTTTGCTGATACACAGATGTATTGACCACAGTACAGTATTTTACTGATACACAGATGTATTGACCACAGTACAGTATAGAACTGACACAGATGTATTGACCACAGTACAATATAGAACTGACACAGATGTATTGACCACAGTACAATATAGTACTGACACAGATGTATCGACCACAGTACAGTATAGTACTGACACAGATGTATCGACCACAGTACAGTATAGTACTGACACAGATGTATTGACCACAGTACAATATAGTACTAACAAGAGATGTATTGACCAAAGTACAATATTTTACTGATACACAGATATATTGACCACAGTACAGTATAGTACTGACACAGATGTATTGACCAGAGTACAATATTTTACTGATACAGATGTATTGACCACAGTACAGTATAGTACTGACACAGATGTATCGACCACAGTAGAGTATAATACTGACACAGATGTATCGACCACAGTACAATATAGTACTGACACAGATGTATTGACCACAGTACAATATAGTACTGACACAGATGTATTGACCACAGTACAGTATAGAACTGACACAGATGTATCGACCACAGTACAATATAGTACTGACACAGATGTATTGACCACAGTACAATATAGTACTGACACAGATGTATCGACCACAGTACAGTATAGAACTGACACAGATGTATTGACCACAGTACAATATAGTACTGACACAGATGTATTGACCACAGTACAGTATAGAACTGACAAAGATGTATCGACCACAGTACAGTATAGTACTGACACAGATGTATTGACCACAGTACAATATAGTACTGACACAGATGTATTGACCACAGTACAGTATTTTACTGACACAGATGTATCGACCACAGTACAGTATTTTACTGACACAGATGTATCGACCACAGTAGAGTATAATACTGACACAGATGTATCGACCACAGTACAGTATAGTACTGACACAGATGTATTGACCACAGTACAATATAGAACTGACACAGATGTATTGACCACAGTACAATATAGTACTGACACAGATGTATCGACCACAGTACAATATAGTACTGACACAGATGTATTGACCACAGTACAATATAGTACTGACACAGATGTATCGACCACAGTACAATATAGTACTGAAACAGATGTATTGACCACAGTACAGTATTTTACTGACACAGATGTATTGACCACAGTACAGTATTTTACTGATACACAGATGTATCGACCACAGTACAATATAGTACTGACACAGATGTATCGACCACCGTACAATATAGTACTGACACAGATGTATCAACCACCGTACAATATAGTACTGACACAGATGTATCGACCTCAGTACAATATAGTACTGACACAGATGTATCGACCACCGTACATGTAAATTACTGACACAGATGTATCGACCACAGTACAATATATTACTGACACAGATGTATCGACCACAGTACAATATACTAATGACACAGATGTATCGACCACAGTACAATATACTACTGACACAGATGTATCGACCACAGTACAGTATAGTACCGACACAGATGTATTGACCACAGTACAGTATAGTGTAGAGGGGACCATGTAGGACATTGTCCATGTGTAGAGGGGACAATGTTGTAGGATATTGTCGATGTGTAGAGGGGACAATGTTGTAGGATATTGTCAATGTGTGGAGGGGACAATGTTGTAGGATATTGTCAATGTGTAGAGGGGACCATGTTGTAGGATATTGTCAATGTG